TATATATTTTTTATAGTTTTGAATATTTTTCTGAAAAGAAAAAAATAGGTTATCTTAATAAAATTTTGAGTAATTTAGATTTGTTTTTTTGTCCACAATTGTCCACAAATTGTCTAAAGCTATCCCGTGACAATACTGTTTATATATATATATATATATATAGTATATATATCATAGTATATATATAGTCAATATAACTCTTTTTGACAATCACCAAAACCAAATTCCTACTAACAAAAAAATATACTTTTTGCTAGAGAGTTGGGGCCTATGCAGCGGTTTGTCTAGAAATTAACGGTTTTGCTTACGGGACTCCTCTAAAGAGATATTCGGCATGCAAGCTAGAAGCGTTCTTATATAAAATAACTGGCAAGAGGTGCTCTTGTTAAAAAATTTTGGTGAAGAATAGATAAAGCCCAACTTTGTCAACAAAGCTTCTAGATTGTTACTTCAAAAAAAAACACAGGGGAAACAACAGAAAATATGTTTTTTTTAAGCTGCTTTCTTTTATTTGGTTAAGTTATTCCTCTTTTATTTTCTCTCATCTCCTTATTGGTCTTTCAAAAAATTTTGATAAAATGTAGGGATTTGGCTTACCCCCTCCAAAAGATTGGTATTGTTTACTTCCCAAATTTGGATGGACCAGCAGAATACAATCACATGTTTGTTTATGGATAGATATAGTGCTACTTCATGGGACTCGGCCTGGGAACTCTAATTACAGTAGTAGGTGGCTTAAGATACGGGTCCTTCTTGGGTTAGGGTAAGTGTAACCCTCAGACAACAGCAACACCTGGCTTAAAGTATGAATTAAAATGGGCAACGAAGTGATTCGGAGTTGGTGGGAAGATCAGAAAGTAACTTTAATGCTAAAGTGAAGCTTTACAGAAAAGATATACAAATATTGCATTTGTTATACAATTTTTACCAGCCTTGTACGGGTTATAATTTTTTTTTTTTTTTTTTTTTTTAATCTTAGGCAGTTTCGCCAGTACTTTATTAAGATTCTAAGTATATTACTAAATTATACACTTGTTTACTTCTAATTTGCAAGCCTGACATCACCTAGCTACCTAATAGCGCCCAAGTGCAACCTGCCATACTAGTTTGAAAACTATTCTAAAAACTAGGGGCTGTGTTAAATTAGCCTAAGTGCCACACCAAAATGGCTTTCCACCGACTCTAATTCTATTTCAAATTGTCTTCTCTACCAAAGCATCTATTCTTCTATTCATGTTTTTCCTTCTATTATTAATCTTCTATACCATAGTTTCTTTAGGATTAGGCAGTTTTCTACTCTTCTGATCAGAACTTTTTTGTGCTTCTGTCTTTTCTCTTCTTCTTTTTCTGCTAACCTTCTTTTTATCCTGCAATTTGGCTCTTTTTCCTAATTTTTGCTGCTTAGAGATGTCTTTCTCTTTTTCCCACTTTATTATCTTTTTGCATCTTGATCGCCATATAATTTTATGAAAGCTATTCCACAAAACATGTATTGTTGTATCTAAGGCTAAGTTTGTTTCTTTTTTTGCTAAGCCTTGGTCGATAAGTTCTTCTATGACTGTACTTTTAAATAAGCCCCGAGTAAAGCCTTCTCTTCACTCTTTTTGCTTCTTGTAAATTTTACCAAATAAGCATCGCTGGAGTTCGCTTGTTTGTAATTTTCCCTTTTCTCAGGTTTATTTATGAGGGCTTGTACTGCTTCAATTGCTGCTTGTTCAATTTTTTGCCAATGGGTCTGCTGTGCTCTGTAGTATGCTAAATGATCTTGTGTTTCTTCTATATTATCTTTACACAATTTGCAGCTACTCTCCTCATATAGGTCTGGCCTTCTTTTAATGAGGTTACTTAGTACTGGGAGCTGATTATGCAAGCACTTGATCAGGAAGTTGAGCTTTTTTCCTTTTTGTATTGATGTCCAGTACACTCTGCTTTGAGATTTGATTCTTCTCCATAGACTTTTCCAATCCCACTTCTGTGTATTGTCTCTTGGCTTGAGCAGACTTACAGTACTTAACATTCTCTATTCTGCTGCAATTTTTGTATCTTTGAGTTCTTTGATGAAATTTCTTGTTGGGATTTTGATTCTGCCAATAAACATTGTATCTGAGCCTTAAACTTGGTACTACCTTCTGTATTCGTAGGTCTGGTGCTAGCAAACCTTTTTTTGCTAAATGATCTGCCTCATCGTTCTATTTGTTCTTACTATGACCCTTAACTTTAATTAATTTCAGCTTCAACTCTTTCGTGTTTTTGGCATTTATAATTTTGAGTAGCAAAAAGTAGTTTTTTTGTTTTAGCCATTCTCTATTCGTTCTTAGACCTTCATCTTTTTTGATTGCATCTATTGCAGCTACACTGTCTGTATATATCTTGATTTTGGTCCTTATCGGGGCTATAAGTAGAACTACCCATATTGCTGCCAATTCAGCTCTTGTTGATGAAGGCCAATGTTCTATACTAAGGCAACCCTCCTGTAACTTGTTTTTTTCATTTTCGTCAATTTGCAACTAATCTAAACCCTGTTTGCACACTGCTCTTCTATTTCTCGTTTCTTTTAATAATGAGCCATCTATATAGAATGTTAATGTTTTTTTATCTGTTTCTATATTTCTATCTAGTTGATTTAATAATAACTCTTCACAATATTCACCAAACCCTTGTTTTTTAATATAGTCTCTCTCTAATTTATCTATATAAACTATATCTGCCAGGCTTGCATGTTTTAAACTATACAAGTCTTTACCTATTTCCCTCCTACTAGTTATCTCTGTATCAATATTATTTTTCCTAATTCCTTCAAATGAGCTTTGTATCATATCAAGAATCTAACTACTATTTTGCTTTCTAAACCCTTGCAATACTGTGATTACTTTTTCTTGTTAATCTACTCTGTTTATTGGGTGTTGTTTAATATAATTGCTTCTTTATCTAGTCTGATTTTACCTTTTTCTTCTTTCCTAACTAATCACTTCTCTGTGCGAAATCCTTCTTTGCTCTTGCTAACTACTCTTCGAATGTCTGGCTTGTTTTCTTTGTTGTTAACTAGTATCCAATCAAGTTTACGTTTGTCTTCTGAGACTTTCACTTTTTGGGGTATTAATGCTAATTTGTTTGTGCTACTTGTTTGCAGATCTTGCTTTATTTCTCTTGTATTAAAGTTAATGATCATCTGATTTTCGATTGACCTAAACTAAATCAGGACCTTTTCTTTGCTAGATCTTTCTTTGACTCATTTAAGATAATGCCACGTGATCATCTGCTTTCCCTGCATATCTAAAAGCTGTTCGATAAATATTAGATCTAAGAATTTTAGCATCTTTGCACACTGTATAAAGGCTTTTTCTCCTATCATACTATGTATTGTTCTACCTATATTTCTGATTCCCCAACTACCTTGTGTTGGTTTAATTACTAATTGATTCTTTGCTCCCTTTACTAAGGTTAGCATTGCTTGATTGTATTTTCAGAGTTTTTCGAGCACTATATGCTTTTCTTAGCCATCAAAGCTCTCTGTTAAACTAGCTATTCGGTGTCCTTGCCAGATTCTCAGCTCAATAATTTTGTTAATTACCTCTTTATCATTTAATCTGTTATGTAGACTTGTAATCTGTTTATTGAATAGCTCTGTATATTCTTGTGTGTGGTTACATAGTTCGGTACTGTAACTTGAAGGTCAAGTTTGCTTTTTGCTAGCCTAATTATTGGTTGGTGGATCTTGTCTATTAAGTCTCCAGATGCTCTTGATAGTTGTAATAGGTAGCAAAGTTTGGGTATAATACACATATTATTGATATACGCTAATTGGCTAACTGTAAGTTTTTTCCATCTTAGTGCTTTTACTGTTTGCTGTACAATTACTTTGGCTTTCTTGTGCACCAAATTCTCATTCATTCTATAGTTGAGCCATATCCCAAGAACTCTCGTTATATTATTTGGCCTTTCTTTTTTAATTTTCTCATCTCCAAATGTAATATATCTTTCTTCTGATCTAGACTCTGGGTTGAATACTATAAGATTTGACTTTTTTCCATTGATCTGTATATCATTGATCTCGAAGAATTCATTTGCAATTGTGAGCATTTTCTTTATCACTTGTCTATTTAGAGCAATCCATGTAGTATCGTCTGCAAATGCTACAACTGCTACCCTTACTTTTTCATTCTTTGCTTCACCCTCTTGCAACAAGTTAGGATTTAGAGCCTCTATAGTATAGCCAAGCTCTTTACTCTTCTGTACTCTTACTAATAGTGAGTCATAGAAGATCTGCCAAAGTAGTGGTGAGAAGATCTCTTCTTGTTCTATTTCATCTTTCATTTCAACTAGATTTGTAAGACCTAATACTGTTATTATATATGACTTTCTGTTTTTAAAGAGCATTAGAATTAACTCTATTGTTTTGGGTGAAATCTTAACTCTTTTCATTGTTCTTTGTAGCATCTCTAGTGATATTGAATCAAAAGCCTTCTTCATATCTTGCAGAACTACCCAAAGCTCGGCATCTTTCTCCTTTGCATCTTCTGTAATCATGTTTAATATATAAACTAGATGTTTTGTAGAACCTCCTAGTAACTCTGCAAAATTCTATCTTTGAAGAATTTGGTATTTAGTAAGCACTTTTGAAAGCCTATTGGTAATGATTTTTGTTATACATTTTCTGAATGTTTCTAAAAGGGCAATCGGTCTTGTGTTTTCTAAGTCATAGTTTCAACTTGTGCTTTTTAGTATTGGGTAAATTTGCACTTTTTTCTACTCCTCTAGTATGGCCAGCTCTCTTATACAGAAGTTTGCAAAAGATCTAAAATACTCTTGGGTTGACGCACTTGCATTTTTGAGAAAGCTATATGTAATCCCTGATAGACCTGGAGCTGTGCCACTTTTTAAAGACTTTAATGTGGAAATCCACTCTTCTTCTGTAATTTCGCTTTCTATATCAGAATACTAGTCATCTTGAACCCAACTAATTAGTTAGTAAACTTCTGCCCAAGCTTCTACCTTTTCTGGCTTTTTGGGTACTCTTTCTCGCATTTGTCTATCATAATGTAATCTAGTTTCTTGTAAAACCTAATTTGGTTCCGTAATCAAGGTTCTATCTCTATTTTGTTCTTTAAAAATTCTATCTATTGTAATTTTATTGCAAGGTTTGTCTAGAAGGCCTCTTAGTATTTTTTCTTATTTATTTTCAATTGTTCGCATCTTCAGTCTATACTTAGTTCTATTTCCTTGCATTTGGTAACTTCTAGTTTTTCAGCTCTTTTTCTATTTATAATTCTCCACCAGCCTTTCATATTCTCTAGCCACTCTACGTAGTTTTCTAAACTTATCTCAGGCATCGCAAGATCATCAAAATTGGCCTAGTGATTCTTGAAATATTATAACTTTTTTTTTTTTATATATAAAACTATTTTAAAAACGTTTTATATATGTAAAGAAAGAAAAATTATAATATTTCAAAAACTACTAGGCCAATTTAGATAATTTTACTACCATTAGAACTACAAAAATAAGCTCTACAACTCTGTTAAGCTTTAAAAAAAATTAACTTAGTAAAAAAAACTTTGTTTTAAGCTAATTTCAGATTTTACTTTATTTTTTTATTTTTTTTTTAATTTGGCAGTCTTATCTTTACTATTTATCAAATTTTTATGCTTAGGTATTTTTTGGTTACAAATATCACAAGTATAGTTATAACTATCTAAAGTATGTATAGTATCAGCTTACCTGGTTACTAACTTGAGTACCTATGTACAACCTGCTATATGAGATTTTTATCTCTTTAATAACTACCCTGCAATTAAACTAGTTACTAACTTATTAAATAGTTTTCAAACCTATTTTTATCATATATATCTCACTTATATACTACTGTACAATGTTTACCAACTAACTTCTATCTTTTATCACTTATTACATTACTTCTAATTCAGTTCTTATATTACTTCCAAATTGGTGTTTTTTAAGTGGGTATTCTTCATGCTTCCAGTTTGGTGTTCTAAATTTTATTCTACTTTTTTTTTTAATATTAGGCAGTTATACTACAATTTTATTAGACTTTGTACTAATTGCTCTAAACTAGTAAAAGTTTACAAAAGAAATTACTGGGTAAGTAATAAACTTTAAGCAAGTTGGCAAAATAGCATATAAGAACTATCTCTAAATGACAAATGCTTCCAATGAGATAACCTTATGTATACCTAAATTACAAATTGTAACTAACTTGGTTACTTCAATTGATACCTATGTTTGACTTGCTATAGCAAGATTTTCCTCCTTCCGGACTCCTTCTGCAATTAGATATGATCTGGCTCTCAACAGTAGACCTTGTCGCCTATTATGACTACTTTCTTTTCTTTCAGACTTTTTTCACCTAAACTTGACAAAATTATTAAACCCTTATTCATATATAAAAATAAAAAAATAAAGCCATGTTTACAAAAGACATAAATATTTTAGAAAAAAATGCCTCACGGTGATAAAAAAAACAAAAACCAAACTAAAATTTTTAAAATAATCTAATATAAATAAACAAAAATAAAAAAAGTAAAAAAAAAAAGAAAGTAGCTATAATATACTATTATAGCCCATGTCAGACATAAGGATAAAAATTATATAATAATTGCAACTAATTGCTATATTTCAATTGTAAAACCTTCAGTTTAGCTTTGAAACTTGTTCTAGATACTAACTTGACTTGGGTATCTCCTAAACAGAATGATGATTTTTTCCTCATATTATAGTACCATATTGATAAACAAAACAAATATGTGGTTGTATTCTACTGAGTTTGTCCAAATTAAATAGGTATAAACAATGCCAATCTTTTGAAAAAGGTAAGCTAAAATGTTTATTTTTTTATTAAAATTTTTGGCAAGAATAGCAAAAAGCGAAAAACACAGAAGAGACCACTAGTACATATTCAAATGAGTGTGAGTTTTAAAGACATCAACAGGTGTTCTACAAGTTGGCACAGTACATAGTTTTTTTAGTAAGTAATAAACTCTGGGCTTGTTGGCAGATAATATATGAGAACTATCTCTAAATGACAAGTACTGTACTGCCATAAGTGATAAACTTTAAGCTTGTTAGCAAGTAGCATATAAAACTGCCTCTAAATGACAAGTATGGTTCTTCTTATGCCCTTTTTCTATGTCTTTTATTTTTTTTGCAGTATATTATTGTTTTTTAGTTAAAAAGTTTTTTAAAAAATATGGTCCAGATGATCGTTGAGATTTTACTTTACTATATTATAAAACTTATATAAAAAACTTGTATAAAAAACTTGTTTTAATTTTATAGTACTATTAATATATTATATTTTATATATTATTGTATAAATAGTTAATAATAGGGTTGGAATCCTGCGGCCTAGTGGTCTAAGCACCCAACCCTCTATGAGCAGGTTTTGGGTTCAATCCTAGTAGATATGTTTATCTATGAATATTTGGAAGTATCTGCTATAGGAAGTTCAAGTGAATACAGATCTGGATTAGGAATTTCTGGAAAGAGGTCCATTGTGGAGTAGTTAGCACTATGTGTAATAGTGATTGTTACAGAAGGTTCTATTACACAAAGGCAGAGCCGATAATTTTCTGCAGTAGTTAAGACCAAATTCTGCGTGTGGTTAAGACAAATTTTGTGATTTACTGTGGTAAATTTTTTTTATGAATTCTGTATGATCTCATTAAATTCTGTGCAATTTTGCAGTGGTATAATGCAGATTCTGTGACTTAATGTGCTTGTTAAAAAAAATTTTATTTATACTATTGCTTACTTTTGGTAGCAAAAAAAATATACTACATATTTTTTAACTAAAATAAAGTTGAATTTTTTTTGTTTAAAAAAAGAAAAAACAATTATTCGCCATTAAAATATAGCATGTTTAGTTGTTTTAAAGATTCAATTGAAAGACTTTAACGATCACTGTTTAAAATATTATTATACAGTATATAAAAAAACTACATTCAACACTGCAGCTAGAAGCTAGAAGCCAAATATAATTTAGTGCTATTTCTGATAAATTTGGCAAAATAGTTTGCATTTCCATCTAATATTCATGAAGATTAGACATTTTTTTAGTTACTTTGTTAACAAATCCAAGATAAATTGTCTATTCTTGTAGAATTTTGTTTGATAGATTGTTGAATTCAGTAATTGCTAAGTATCAACGAATATCTCTATGGGAAATATCACTGATTTGATTTCTCATCTTAATATATAGGGAGTTAAAAATGCGACAAGCATAAAATAAAGAACAGGCAGGATGCTGTGGAATATATATTGCATATTTTATTATATGCAACCACAAATACTAATCGAAAAATATTATAAAAATCATTTGGATTAAAATAGAATTGTGTAATAAAATCATGCAAATCAGTTCCAAAATTTTGTACTATAATATTTCCTTCTATAAATGATAAAAGTTGTTCAAGCTGTCCTTCAATATAAGGA